ATCACTCGAAGTGCATGACTCTTCACCTACTCCATGGAATTTCCTCATTGTTTCTGGAGGAGTCTTGGGTCAACTTGTCCGGAACAGGTGCACAAGGGGGTGGAGTTGAATTTGAGGGAGGAAGACTTGACCAAGTGATCTGTTTTGCGGAGTTCACATATTTTTAAAACCAAGTCCAATGGGTCCGTTGGACATGATGAGCGCCCAAACCATGTTCATCTCCATCCCCTCCCAATCTCGTACTCGCCTAGATGCCTTCGCCTAGATGCAAGTCTTCGAACATCCTGATATTAATTAATATATAAATGTTTGTGTTCAAGAAGCGGGTTTCTACACAGGCCTCGAAGGTTTGTACCGAGCCTGGAGCTAGGAATGCTTTACTTGGCTGCTGGATACCCTACCCGAAGCCCACACCCTGGTAGCTTGACGTCCTGGCTGTAGTCTATTCGGTTCATTTCACTGATCAACCGAGGTGTCTCCCACGGTAGAGGTTTTTCATCGACTTAGGGTGGCTTCGCACAGGTGTCTTCCCACATTCTGAATGCACGATATGCACAGCCACACGGTGATGGATTCATATCTTTCAATTTGCTGGGACATTCCACTGATTCTGCTTCAACTCATAACTACCTGGTACCTTCCACACGTATGCAAGACTGCGAGAAACAGTTCATTATAGTATATGCATGGTCAATTAATGTCAATTAGCTTTCGTTTTTGCTATCCTCTGCTTGTTGTGTCCATACAAGCAATACACGCAGACGCTGCAAAGCTGCACATGTATGCACATGTATCATGAAAGGTCACGATAACATGGAGTCATTGTCGCCTATCTTAGCAACCAATCTTGAATCGGACTAACATTCAGCTTCAATGTGAGGAATTTAAACGCTGGCGCAAGGCAAGATCGCTTCAAAGGCACTGTTCTTGCTTGGTATGTATAATTATATGTATAAAGTAGCTTACTATCATGATTATATGATATGTCTAGTAATCCGCAACCTCAGTCAAACCATGTCAAGTCCATTCAAATCCATCATACCTCCAAATTGTTTTAAAACCTTCCAGTGACGTTTCGCTGGTCATTCCGGTCACACCTCGTGCCACCCAAGCCGGACCCCACGCGCGTGCGCGTGCGGCCCAAGACCGGACCCCACGCCTCCGTTGTGATAGATCAAGGCATAACGGATGGCATCCGACTCAGCAGCTTCATAGGGGATTCGGAAGAGCTCCTCGATCTCCCCGGTTTCGCCACGGTGAAACGCGTCCTTTCCTCCCTTCAAAGGTGCCGAAGAGGTGAGACCAACTGCGTTGGCTTCACTAAGGTGTTTTTCTTCGGTCAATGGACATGGAGTAGATCCTTGTATTCCAAGTCAACGAGGTGCGTCCAACGCCCAAGCAGAAGAGTTACTGGAAGTAGAGTGCGGTACGAGGCCTCCGAGCCGTTTGGGCCCTCTTACGAGCCCTCTGAGCCCTTCTCATGTGGTTTTGAGTTGCCTGGCTCAGGACATCAATACCAAGAAACATGGCTGTGGGTCATGGCATCGGGACACCTTGGTTGACCTACCGACGTCACTTGCGCTACAATGTCTGCGCTTCCCCGAGTCCTTCACCTCTTGGTGGGTACTGGGGAGTTGGGTAGAGTATCTACAGAACATGCACTGTACACAAAATGCAAAAACAGGAGGTCAAACTAGCAGTGTTATGACCCATCCCCAGTAGCAGCAGCACCCCATCCACATTCATAGTCACAGAAAGTAAAGCAACATAGTTAACTGATCTTAACTCTTACTGTTATTCTTGCAACGTAGCAGGACATGAACACAAATCTGTTGCTGCCTCTGACACTGTTCTGTTTTCAACATTGCCCTCAGGTATAGCTCAAGGACACAAGGCCATCGAGTCGTGGATGAAGCTTTTACATCCTAGAAAACCCTTTCGATGGGTTCGAGAACATCAAGAACCACCTGGTGCTTCATCTACCAAATCCCCGATTTTTCTTCACATTTGATGACCAAATCCCTGCTGTTTCTTCACGACGCTCCATCCGGATGGGATTCAGGTCACCCCCACAGGTCCGGGGACACGAGCTTCGGGGTCCCTCCGCCTACCACACCGGCCGCCTTCCGACCGTTGAAAAGAGGCTCCTCAGGTGCATCTGGGATCCATTGTCTCACATTGCTTCGATTCACCTCGGCATAGGATCGATGATCGATAGATCGATAGATACGCAAACCATCCGGCACATATCTTCCTGATCACTGGGGGAGCGTCATGGTCAACGGACCGATGTTGCAACTCCTGTTTTCAGCAAAACATGATGATGAGAGCATATCTTGGCTCTCACATTGAAGATCCCAGCAAACACAATTTATGTTCCTTTTTGACATGGTCGAACTTGTTTTTGTTTTTGAATACGGGATACGATGGGAAACTGGTCAACTCTGGGCATTCGACGGGGAACAAGACCAAAGGTATATGTGTTGCGTCTCTACTAACAAATCACAGTACGGTGGTTTCAAAGGTTCGATGGCACAAATTATATACCCCCAAGTTTGGTGCTTTGTATGGACCCCCATCTGAAGGACATCTTCGCCATCTACTCTGAAAATACAGTAAATGAGCAGGGTTTAGAATGGTTTAGAGTTTAGACATATATATTATATATAGACATATACTATTTAATTCTGTGACCCTGCCCGAGCGCCAGTCCACTGGTGGACTTAGCTGTCGCCATTCCGGGATCAGGAACTGCAAACACACAGGGTGGCCATCACAAGGACAAGGATAGAGCAAAGTCCAGCAAAACTACCAACAGCTTTCACCAACACCACTTCAAGTTCTTTTCTGCTAAGCTCATTCCCGTTTGAGGGGAACGTGGCAACCCCATGCTCATTGGCTGCCAGGCATCTCCTAGCAATCTGGAAAACATGGAGAAACTCACCGGTCGTGTAAGAGTAGGAGTCAGGGCGGTTCAGGGTAGGGGGTAGTTTGTTTCAAACCATTTCAACCCCCCACCCAGGCATTAACTATACCTGTTCTCCAAGTTTTGAACTCTGGACTTCATAGTTTGAAAAAAACTTTGAACCATTTTCATCCATTTTCTTTTCTAGATGATCTCAATCCTTCTGAAAAGCTGGGCGTACTTCGGTACACGTGACCGTACATCACGTCTCTCCGCCTCCGTCGTCCGTCTCATTCTCTCGTCCCAGATGCCAAGACCGGTGCTCCACAGCGTCCCTTGGAGGCCAACTGCCAGGATTGCAGGTTCAAGTGGATGTACTCCTCAGATTGCCGCGGATGCAGAGCGCTCTATTTCCCCCGACACCAAGCACCAAGCACAGTCGTTCGTGGATGTACTCCTCACTGACTCCGCGGAGCGTTCGAGTCGTTCCTCGTCGCTACTCGCTTCTCGTTGGGTTCGTGATGGTTCGTGGGTGAGTTACGGTCGTTCGAATCCCGACGGGGACGGACGAAGGACGTGAAGTTACTTCGGGTTCTGGAGAAGAGGAAGGACGACGCCAGCGGTTCTTGGAAGGCGATTTAATGGGGGGTGGAGGGGTCACTCGGAAGCAGCTCCTCAAAGAGTTTATATTATAGAATCTGGAACGAGCATTTGTGTTTAAAACCAACTGCCACTGGGATCTTAATCTTAATCGGTATGCCAGTTCCAACGCCTACTCTATAGTTTCTTTTCCTCGGATGACTCCAGATGGTGGAGTCAGAAGTTGGATGAACCATGGAATTGGATAATCCAGCAACACGGCCAAGCTGATCCGACATGGATGAATGATGAATGAATCGTGTCTAACTATGCTTTTGTGATCTTTTGTCCATTTGTTCAGAGGAAAAAACGTGGGAAAACCACTCCTCTTGCAGGTTTGCGAAGCACCTTCCTTTGGATGGTTACCTGGAGGCTATTCTTCCCATTGGAAGGGTCACGACCTTTGACTTTGTTCGTTTGATCGGGTTATTTGACCTTGATCCCTCCGACGCAAGGGACGTCCGACCATCGACCGGAGGAGGGAGGAAGGCGGAGGTCGAGATGCGGATCAAGTGGCTGGAACTGGTCGTGAGTAGTTCCACAAGGTGAAAATGTGGCAGTTTTGTACCTGAGAACGCGAAACATGGCGTGGCTGGTGTTTGGGTTTTTCATTGAACATGTTTGTGTTTGTTTTGACCCATAGATAGTAGCAACCCCTCAAATGTGATGCATCCAAATCATGCCGACAAACACATTTGTTTCAGGCATTTCAGAATTCCTTTAACTCACGTTCCAGGGATAGTCAAACAACTGTTGGTTGAGATCTCCGGCACTGGAGAATTACCACCACTGCTACAACACCTACAACTTGAGTATCCACAACCTGTTTTGCTTGTAAACCAAGGAGACTGACATGGATGTGACACTGCTTCACATGATCATAAATGATCCCAAGGTGCTCGGCTTGCACGGCTTGTGGATTGCAACTTCAGCGCATGGAGCGGAAAAAGGCACACCACGAAGAGCCGCGCCGGCCACTTCATTCTGGAAGCCGCTGTGCACCCAACGGCTGCGACAGAAATGGCTCTGTTGATGTCGCAGACCCAACGAGACCAACAACCGAATTTGCAGCGAAGGCACTTTTTGGGGCCAGTCGAGTTCCAGTCCCCGCAACCCACCGGTCGGTTCAGAGACCTGGTTAGTCAGAGTTGGCTTGGTCCAGGTGGAACCATGGAAAAGGCCAAACTCTTTCTTCCCTCAGTACATGTAATTGGGGCTTAAGATGTTTACGCTCAAGTGGACTCAAGTGGCTTCAAGTCCCCTAGTTTGCCTCCACGCGCGCCATGCAAAGTCGACAACAAAGTGCCCCGGTATGCCCCAGTCACAGATTCCGAACAAACCCTTCACAGACCCTCCAAGAGTTCTTTCTCGAAAACCGACCCGTTTGCAGCCGCTTCTGACCCGAGCGCTGCCCGCAAGCCGAGGCGAGAACCGATTGTTTTGTTCGACAGCGCTCCTTTTCCACCTCTTCCGAGTGGTCGCTTTGGAAGATGTAGTCGGCCACGTCCACCTTAGCACGTTCTTCATTTCCCCAAACGTCCTCCGGAATATGGATCTGGTTGGTGTTTTCAACCCACTTGAAAAATATGAGTCAGAGGGTCCAATCATCCCCAAGTAAGTAAGTGTTGAAAAAAAAAAGAAACAACCATCACCTAGGGATTCTGCACGCCGTCTTTTGGTCTCTTTTGGTGCTTCCGTCTGCGCGCAAAGGCCGGTTTCGTCGGTTTCGCTGGGAACGGATGGCCGTTGCGCTGTTCGGTCTGTGCGGGGTCCTCCGGGTCCATCGGTTCACCGGTCATCGGTGCATCGGTCGGAAATCAATGCCATGACCGACAGTCGTGAAACGAACCGACAGCTGTGGCCCAGTGGCTAGGCCAACCACATCCACACCCGCCTGACGCGGTGCGCAGCCATGCGCAGCCATGCGCAGCCAACGAAGCGGGATGATTTAGAACTCTTCTTTGGCAGTTGGGGAGGTGCACTGGACGTGTGAAATGGCTCAAACGGATCCTTATCAGCCCTTGCACATATCCGCCGTACAAATGGTCCAAGACCTGGATCCAGGATTTTTTAAAGTAAGAATGCAAAGTCCATGTCTTGACAAGCAAAGCATTTTTTGGGGGGTGACAGGCCAAATGATTCCGACTTTAAGACATCCATGGGGAAGAGGTGCGGAGTCGCAAGTTCACTTCATGCCATGTTTCGCTGCCTTCGTCGCTTGTTTAGGCTGCAAACGTCTTGTTCTTTCTGGTTTGATGGGGAGCCATTTATATCAATTTGTCGATGCAATTTGCAGTTTAAACCATGTTAAACCCAATCACCATCCCTGCTACCATGCTTGGCCCCGAACCTACGACTCCCGCGAAACCAACGATCCGTACGCTTCACAACGTACGAAACCACTCGCCGAGTTTGCCTCGTTCAGCAAAGTGGTGGCATTACCTGAAGGAAACAAGAGGCTTGCGGAAAAGATGATGTCTTTGGCCACATACCAGCTGCTTCCGTTCGGGGTTACCTGGCTGGATAACCCATGACAACCCTACACTGCTTATAGTTTGCCATTGGACACGCATTGGAAGCGCTTATTAAGTAGAAATGTCATGATGTGTCTATTCTAATACACGCCCAAATCACTACCCAAATCCTACACCACCAGGACTAAGGTTGGCTGAGCATTGGGCCTGCTCGTACACTAGAGCTGTGAGTACAATAGTACAAAGGCATACAAAAGCTATGTTCACATGGACGAATCATTCGAAGGACACAGCTACTGACTGGAAAGCGACCCTAACACGGCCTTCTTAGCGAATAGGTTGGCCTTCTGATCTTTGTTTCTCTACCCACGAGGCAGCGGAATGACTTCGGACGGAAGGCCAGTCTTCCCAGCAAAGCAAACAGTATTAACAAAGTCTTAATTTCTAAAGAAAAACATGATCGGTCAAGATCAACATCTCATGATTCTCCTGAAAATAGTCAGTTGCTCATTGTAGCGTAATTCAGCCTTTGTTCTTGGCTTCGCCGTGCCAAGATTTTCTCCAATTCGCGGAAGGTTCCAGCTGTAGTCACTGTAGTCGATGCGATCGAATATCACCCTCTGCCTAAAGCGGACCCCAAATACCCTTATGACGTCAGCATACGATCTGATCAGTCTCAGTGACCACAAACCATCGGATTTTGCCGTAACGCACAGGGATTTTCTTACTTATTCATTCCACAAATCCTGATTATGACATGGTCCATGATGGTCCACATCTTCAAATACCCGCTGCCAAGAACAATGAATGCTTCTGAAACCCAGACAAGAAGCGGTCGTGCAACATATCCTTGGCTGTTGCTGACTTTGCCCCACAAAATGTATGTGTCTGGAGCATGAGGACTTTTTGTACCAGGCCTTCTATCTTAATGACCGAAAAAAGGGAAACAATCTCAAGATCTGGGGGAGGAAATTGCTCGAATCCCGGCAATGTCAACCATGTACTGAATGAGTACCCAAGCAAGAGTACCTGTATAGTACTATATGGGAATGCCATGTGCCGCTATGCATTCGGTTCAGGCCCACAATGAAGATAGGAGGTGCCTGGTTAGAAATAGGCTTTGGAAGGCTCGGGACTCGATTCTACAACGAACACTGGGCACCCCCTTGCTGCCCCCCCTTGCTGTCAGCAAGGCAGCTTCTGAAAAAAAAAGTTCCTCACGTCCGGTTCTTCGCATGGTTCACGTGTCAAGAAGGTCAACAAAGAGCCACTGCTGGGGGGTCGTAGTTGACAATGACATTCAGACATTCTATTGATTTCTATTGTATAGTATACGTATCAACTTGTCTATACCGACTTATTGGTATTCTTGGACTGCTGTGGACAGAAGCCAAGGGATGAACAGCATTCATCAAGCATTCATGAAGTTTCTACTGTTCAGTTATGTCCCCAAAATGAAAGCAGTTGTGCGCCCGGCTCTTTTTGCTCGACAAGGCCAGTCGCGGCCAACGTAACGATGCCAGCGCCTGCGTCACGCCCACCTAGCCAACCTACAAGACCATGGCAAACCGAAATCCTGTATGCTAGATTCCGAATGACTTTTTGGTTGGCCTAACTAGCCAGCACACGATTCCCCAAACTTGAGCAAGCATTTCTTTTTCCACACACACCACATAGATGCATCGGTTCATACAATTATGACAAACTATATGTAAACATATCATATATCATGTATATATATATATTGTAAACTGGCACTCATCACACGCATGTAGCTTAACACTCTTTTCTTCTGGGCCTACCATGGCCTAGTCTCAGCTGCGTTCGTCTCCACCTGGATGGTGCTTGCTGCGAACCCTGCTTGCTGCCAAGCGTCAATCAGCACACGCCGGCTAATGCTTGGGATTTGTCGAACCCCATGGCGGTCTTGAATGATTTGCTGCACCTCCCAGCGATGGAAGGACGACCCACCCCCCTCATGAGGTCGGGACCTCGGGACACAACATGTTGTTATGAATTATATGGATATATGATATGTTCCATTTCAAAGAAACGTTCAGTTCCGAGCCTGGATACGTGATGTTAGATATTATATATGTTCATTTAACCGTTTTTTACCATGGATGATACGTTCAATTTCAGACGTAACTTGGTGCCGCAAGGCATACAGCAACTCGTCATGAAGAAACTTGAAGGGCATCTTGTTCAGAATAACGGGGCTGAGCAATATGTTCAATAAAACGCAAACAAGTACATATAGATCATAAGAATCAAACTGGAACCCCATCTTAACGTTCTTCCCCAGGTGGGTTCTCCGATCATTCACACCTCTTTTTCTGTCCCTGGGTACGTCGTCTTCCAATCATTCAATGAATCATTCTGCCAGTTGCTGGTACACTCTTGATGAAACATATCCCGCATCTGAAGAGTTGTTACAATATGTTACAATCCAAAAAACTTTAAATATATCAACCATCATTCAGCCATACCCCTCTCCGCCCACTGGTGGCCTTCTCTCGCACGAAGGCCTCCGCGATGGCCTGGCGTTCCGTCTGGCTCACGCCACTGACCACCTCGCACATCACACCAATGAGCATGTTCAACAGCAACCTGGGCGAGCAATCAGAGCGTGTTGGTACATACCTTACCATACTCAAGTGGGACAGTCCACCTATGAAAAAGTTTCTTATGGCATGGTATATGTGCTGGTGCATCCGTGTACCAGGGACAGCCTGCTTTCTCGAGACAAACCAAAGACAGCGGATGTTTGCAGGAACAAACCTAGGGACTTTGAACACTGTGAACACGTTCGATTCGAGTGGCCCTGCTTTTGGCACGGCAAGATTCTGGATCTTTTGGAGGTCTTGTTGTCACATGTGGTCAGCCAAAACCATGACAACTTCATCCAGTGGACTTGAGTTTCACAGCAGCCCTAACAACTTCACACGCATCCACCAGGGCCAGGAGGTGAGGGACCAGCAGCTGACTCCCTCAGTGTCCCCCAGTTTCTGCAAGAAAGGAGTCAACCTGGAACGCATCTGTGCCTATTCTGTGGAGAATCCAATCCCCCAAAAAGGGTTTAAGGTTATCCACTTGTCCGATTTTTTCTCTGTAGGTCATGTGGAGGCACCTCCGGCAGGTGCTACGCATCTGGCGCGTATCTCGAGACGCGGAGACACACAGTTCCCCCCCCAAGCAGAGGGACCACATGGAGCCTTGAATCGACCTGTGGCTGAAGACCATGCCATCCGAAGCCCAACCCTCACATGGTGGAATTTCCGGCGTTGCATGTGGCTCCGAAGTTGGGGGGGGAGCTGAGTTTCTGCCACTCGCTGGTCATCTGGGAGTTTCCTGACGAAGCAAACGAACAGGAACCTCCATCAACCCAAAAACTCGGAACAGCTTGACGTGTCGGTCCTCTGTGGCGGATGAATTCGGATATAAGAAACACCCCCTACACGACGAACACGTTACATGGTGCAAGTGGATGGCACACCCTGTTTGTAAAGGAAAGTAGTCTTCCAAGGGACCATTTTCCACTTCCATGTTAGTGAGTCAAAGGGTATATCGATCTATCTTGCCCAAACACCTGACAGATCAACATCTAGCATCACCACACGAATTCCTGGAAGCAAAGTCACATTGTCACTTGTCACAACTTGTCACAGCCATCCAATTCATACGATTTGTCTTCCAGCATCTTCTACCTACCCAAAGAATGTGGGCCCGAACCAATGGTGTCGGGGTTTGCTTCGGGGCAAAACCCTGCGTTTCGGTGTCAATTGGATTCTTAGGGGTTTAGATCAGTGACGGGGTATCAGCCGACCGACTCAGCCTAGTTCGGCGCACCAAGTGACCAAGCCGACAAAGCGATCACCACGAGGAAAAGTGCCTAGTTCGGCGCACGGAGCTTCGCACCAAACGGCGTGCGGAGCTTCGATCGGTTTTGGGCTTTCGGTGGACCAGGAGACCGGAGCCCATTGGAGCCGTGGGTCATTAAAAACCACAATCAGTTGCGTGCATTTGGCCGCATGGAGACGCCCCCAAGGTTCTTAACAGGTACCTATAGAAGGCCAAGTCCACCTAGCGGTGTGAGAATTCCTAGCTGATGGATGTCACAATGAAAGGCTTGTAACTGGTTCAGGTTCTGTGTTTCTTTCGGGTTCACATTAGTTGCGCGCACCTCTCGCTCCGATCTCTTTGGACATCTCACTGGTGGCTCACAGGGTCCAAACGCACCGTCCTACGTGTGGGTCGCACCTCTGAGCGGTCAGTAGGTTGAGATGTCCCGATGTTGTGGCGTTGATACCGCTGGTGGCTCTGAAACTGACATATGCAAATATTGCAGGCACCAATTGCAAGGTTCCATTGTTGCTTCCATGTTCTTCCTGCTGAAAGATGCTGATGGCGACTATTCATGATTTACCAATTTAATTTCAAACTCCCTGCGTAAACAACTAGGACCTACACTTGACTGCTTTGCGTGTTTCATGTAGCTGAGCTTTACCAACAATGAAACCCTATCCAAAGGCAAGGTCATTCCCTCACCCTTCCCGTCCCAACGTCCCAAAAGCGTCGCCAAGGAGCACCCCCAAACCAATTGAGGCTCCCCATCACCACTGACGGAGAGTCCAATAACGTCGCATAGAGCAGCAACGAGAGCCTCGGATCCACGGATCCGTCGGTTCCGCTCCACGGTTCCGCGTGGGTGGTGGTTGTGGGAGCAATGCATCGGGGCAGGGCATGTTGGCTGTGTCGCATGCTGCGGCTGTCTTGATCGCAGGCTGAGAGAAGGGCCGTTCCCATCCGACCCGGCGTCGTTCCCAAGTGGAAGGTTCAAAATCTGAAGCTGAGCGAAGCTGAGGATGGGTTTGTTGGGTGCAGAATGCAGTCGAGGGTGAAATGTGAACTTCTTGGACTAAGTGAAGACTTTGGATGGGAGATGACGAGTTTCTCAGTTGCCGTGGGCCCATTCTAAGAATTGATTTCAACAAAAACGACATGTTTTCTGGAAGGCAAAGACTTAAAAAGGTCAGCCTCTAAACAAGTTATACTGACTCCTTCAGTCTCCCTGGAAAACAAAGGTTAAAGGTTATTTACTGACTAGGTAGGTGTACATATACACAGTATACAATATATAAATATATATATATATATTATAACTAAAACTAAATGGACGGTGGACCTGATGGCAAACTCCAGTTTGACCATTTGAGAGATGGAAATTATCGAAATCTATCATGACTAACCACTAAGGATGACACACCATTGAGGAGGTGCCCTCTTTAGATGGACCTCATGGACCAACCACTGGGGTAGACCGTCATGACCTTCTCTCCTGTGCAATCCTGTCGAACCACGGGAACGCTCGCCCCACGCCGCGCGGTAGCTACCTACGCTCGTCCCCGACAAACCATGCAGCATGGAGGTCCAAACGGTGTTGAAGTAGAGGCGGCCACCCTGGGAATCGGATCGCCCTCACAAGCTTGGAGGCTGGGGAGGCTGGATCCACCTACTTCCAATAGGGAGACATGGGAACATTATGAGTACCCCTGGGATGTGAGCCTTTGCTCTTCCCACAAGAAGACACAAACAATTTTGGCCAAATTGAGTGCCCATGGACCACACAATTGCAAACGTCATGCACCATTGGCTCATGGACATCTACAAGGCACAAAGACCAACCAAAAACTTCACCTTAACACCTGGTTCTTACGTGTAACGTTTTGAGGGGTATGATTCGGGGGTATGATTCGAGGTATGATTCGAGGGTATGAATCGCTCAAGTCGAACTTCCAACCACTACATCAGGAAGTACACGCCAAAAAAATACAAACCCATATGATGTAAATGGCACCCAGAAATACAAACTGTGAGGAGGGGAATGCAATGACATATGACAACCTTATGAACCATTTATAAATCCAGAATAGCAAAAGCCATCTGCACAATCTCAGCATTCCAATAATATGTCCAAAACATAAAAACCACATTCGCCCAAAAAGATCAACTAATTTATAACTATTTAATAATTTAATATTAAAGAAATCAATCAACCGTTCATCTACCACATATCTCTTCAACTAACCTCCTCACCTGCGATGCTCCCATGTGACCATTCCGCGTGCCGTTAGAACCGCGGTCCACGCGGTCCGTGCCCGGCCGCCTGACTCCCTTCGGTCGCTTGGCGCATGGCAATGCCGAAGACATAAAGAACCTGGGAGGTCGCGTGGCGCGAGTCGGGAAGGCGCTTGACCATGGAGCATCGGAGAAGTTCCATGTCGAAAGTGGTTTCAGATGAAAGAAACACTGGTCGTTTTGAGACATGTTTTAGCAAAAACAAACAGGATCCGCTGGACCGAAGGAGAACTTGAAGTTTCTGATAAGTCTACATAGCTGGATCCATACTAAAAGAGCACCTATGACCACTGGAAGTAGGACATTTGTGGACTTCCAACTATTCACACCTGGATGTTTCATGCAATGCCTGGCGGTTTCTTCCGCGTATTGCGGGTGGTGGTAGAGTTCCAACCGGGCGGCCGAATCGATGAGGAACTCTGAAGCCAAGCAGCCTTGCTTGATTGCAAGGGCAGTGCCTTTATTGCGCTCGTGCGAAGAATTGGTGATGGCAGGTGCAATCACACTCGCGCCGCTCACAAGCATATTTAGGTGCTTGCAGCCGCACATGTTTTTTGCAAGAACACCAATGATTTCAATGCGCTGCCAGACTCGTTGGGAATTGCTAGCTAAGCACGTGGCTTTCTTCCCTAGCCTCTGCCAGGCCCAAAAGAAGTTCTCCTTGTCTCATCATCCGACGGCAGGGCCAAAAGCATAGACTGTTGTAGTCTCCTGCTGGTTTCTGGCTACGTCGCCGAGACCCAGGGCAGTCACTGTTGCCACAGGAACGAACTGCTCATCAACATTGACGAGTTGCACAGGCTGCAGCTTCTGCACAACTTCTGGAACAAGCCTCAACAGAACTCATTTCCGCCATAGCAGTATGGTTCGATGCATCTGGCCTCCTCCTGAGACGTCTTGCAAGCGATTCCAGGCCTCTTCAAAACATGGAGGCATATCAAAGTCCTTCATTGCGACTTCACTCCATAGCAGTGATGTTACTCATAATCACACGCATCACCGATATCCATCCAACATCCACCTTAGCCCGAGTCACCCGAGTTGGACGTTCATTCTTCCCTCTTACATTCGCGGTCGTTCCCCGTTCGATCGTTGGGATCGTCCAGCTGAGCCTCCCCGCAGCCACCACCAAGACTCCGGTGGTGAGCATCGACCGCGCTGCAGCAATCCTCAAGACCGAACGACCCAGCGAATGACGACCGACGACCGGATGAGAGGTTGTTCGGCCACCGGTGGAATATCTGCGACTGGGCGCCTCGGCTGAACCCGTTTTTTTGTAGAGGAACATAACCATATAGGGGTATGAGGTTTCTACGATTCTACGATCATATAGATGAACACAAAAATTATGACAATTAATTGATTTAGAGTGACATCTGAGATTTAGATTTCTATGTATACGATCATCCGCCGACCGCCGGTGGGGGAGGAGCGGGAGCGGGGTCGAAGTTCCGTTGTGGTACTTCAGTGGGTGCCTCAAGGTTATACTCGACATGGAACTGGCGAAGTGGAACACGCACTGCGACTGCAGAGGATGAAACATGGTCTTCCTGTCGGGGTGCCATCCACGTAACCACCAGGTGCCTTTCACCAGGCGGTGGAAGCTTCATCCCATCTGCAATACCCAGAAGTCACATCAGGCTCGGTAAGTCATATCAATTGCACAACACAACGGCACAGTTCCATGTTGCTTCATTCCCAAGTGGCCGAAGCACTGCACACCATCAGAAAATGTATCAAAAGAAAGCAACAACCACGACATCCTATTGGCACAGCCACAATGAGCTAGATCCAGTTGCAAACCCCAGCTGCCACAAACCTATTGGCACACCACGATCAACTATGGGATACAGTAATATGTGTATGCTGCCATGCAGCCTGCACATGAGCCAGTGAACCTAGCACCCAATGGCACCAAGGACACCTATAAATTAAAGGTTCCTGGTATCAAAATTGAACATGAGAAGTGCATTTGTTGTTTGATATGCATGTGTCAAGTCATGATGTGATGAGAACACCAAACCCTTTTACCTAAAGCGCACAAACCCCAAACATTAGTACAATCCACTACACTCTTGAAAACTAACACGGACCCTGAGAATGGTACCCTGAAAGACTGTTTTACCTACAAACAAGTGGTGTTCAGGGTCCATGCATGTCCATGCTAGTTTTCACCCGGGTAACCACTTTCAGAAACTGTCTCCACATGAAGAACTACAACTTTTACCTAGCGCACAGCTCTGCGATACAACTTTCAAACCTTTTGGACTTAAGCCTGCTGCTTGTAGTTTCAAAGACTGTATCAATGATAGATGGCCGGAACAGGCACAAGCCTAACTAAGCCATCCACTAGTTCAACAAAGAATTAAGGATCTGGATCTGTATTTAAGAACACATTCCTGAGGCTTGTTCTCTTATACATTTCCATGAGGGGCCGTGCCGAGCACGCCGAGCATCATTCCCTTCACCATGATCATCAGCTCTGGCGCCGCGCGCAGCAATCTTGCTATCCTGACCACGCGTTCCCTTTCCAGCACTGACTTCCTAGTCCTAGTCAAGTTTAGCCCACTCTGTGGTGTATCTCAAACACTCTACGTAACACCCCAGATTATTTGTTCTAAACCCATGGACCTGGAAAACGAGTGACCTCACCCAATTCATTAATTCCTTCACCCGTGGAAGAAAAACATCCACGCTTCGAAGAAAACCACCGGGGACGCTTGGTCTGAAGACGACCCTATACGCGTCGTTGCTTTGACGACTCCTTCGACGACGCATTCCGCACCTGGCCACGCGCGAGAGACGAAGGAGTCGGATGAGTCGTAGGGAGGAGCTGTTGCTGAAGAAAGTGCCCTGGGCAGGTTTTTTAGGCGTCGGACGGCCCAGCTGGAGGCCGTAGAAGGACCAGGGACGGCACAACGAAGTGACTGATGGCCAGTCCATTTTGGGGGGAGTTTCCCATGTTGATCTTTCATGATCTTTCTATTTCACTTGGAGATCCTAAAAGGATCCTGAAGAGAATTCCGGAGAAATTGAGAGAAATCAACTCTGTCCATGGGGCCTGTGGGATTGATCTTAACCCGTTTCAGCAATAGAAACCATCGCGCATAATAGAACCTGCTGCTTTCATCCCACAAACCTGTTTCGTCATCTCACATGCCATCCTGGCGCAAATGTCTCGTGGCGACACTCCTGGCTACGAGTACATACACTCCTGGCATGACTCAATACATATACTTACAAGATCGCAACCAATTTAACAAACAACTGAATGTCTGACATGCAACAAGTCCACGATCTTGACACCTCGAGAGCCCTTGGTCCATGTTCATTCGATCCATTGGACGAAACATGACGAAACACCTCGTCATCCGATGACCGTGCCCAGTCATGTGCTCATCCATCGCTTCGTCCCGGGAACGAAGTGACTGGGACGTCGCGACCTCGTCCCCGGTTGGACGTGGAACTCGTCGGTCGCATGGCGAACACCAATCCAAACGACAACAACGAGGGATGCTTTGGATGCTTTCTCTTGGGATTGGATCTGTCACATCCTCAGTTTTGGGGAAAAGAACACATGAAAGGGGTAGCTTCACCCTAAGCCTGACATTCCCAGTCCCACCGACACACAAAAGTTCCAGCGCCCGAACGAGACCTCTCAGACTACACAGATTTCTCGCGAAAATCCTCGGACCTGCCTGAGAGTCGCTCAGGAGAAGGACCTAAGAACTGGGTAGCTGGAACTGGGAGCAGCCAGGATCAAGCACTGACTTCCAAAGCACCTCAACCACTTGGGTTTCATCTTCCAGATGAAGAAGCCCATTCTCAAGAAACCCCAAGAGCCCATTCACAGAAGCCCAGGACGGACACTCACCCGAGCCCCAAGAACAGACCTTACGGGGCAGTCCATGCCAGGTCAGTGGCAGTAGGGTATTGCATGCCAGGAGTTCCCACATATTCAATCCCAATCCACCGGCTGATGCGGCTAGTAACCAGCAAAACTCAGTCTAGTCTATGCAATATAGTCTGATTCATCTTCTATCGTTGTGTAGGTAGGGTCATTTCCCTTTTCAAACTAAAAGGGACGGACTCCACCCCGAAGCTGTTTACATTGTTTGGGCCGTCCTAGGTTTCGAACCTTATGACCCGCACAGATGAAATGAAAACAGCGGATGTGGTGACCAGGGGTTTTCTCAGGTTGCGCTCACCAACACAGGTTGAAGAACCCTAGTTCGACCAGGTCCATAGATACCCTAGGTGACGGGTCCTTTTTCAGTACACTTAATTAGATATAACTTATGTATACTTATGTATAATTAAGTGTACTGTTATATAACCTCTCTTGGCACCTATGGGATCTATGCAGCAGCCCAAAACAGGGAGTCCGTGAGATATGGGGCAGCCACTGGGGCAAATATGGGACGACCCGACTTAAAATACTGATCAAACGTTTTGAGAATGTCACAGGGTGGTTGTAAAGCGAGTACTGTAGTGGTTATAGCAATTGGATGGAACCAATTAGTCTTTCTGGTGAGTTGAAAACACGGATGTTGTGATTCTGAAGCGCAATACCACCGCTGAAGCCTTGCAGTATCATTGAACTAACACGATGTACTATTTAGAGGAAGCAGAGTTGAATCGCCATGTCTGACTGGATATCCCTTTTTGAGGGACGTGACTTGCAACGCATTGTTTGGCAAAGGTCACGAAAGCCAAGAAAAGTAGCAACACAGGCAACACAAGAAATCTTTTTCCAAGCAATCTGTGAGAAGTGTATATAAAGTTGGATGACCTGGCTCTTCAGCATTTTTGAGGGGGAGTGCGGGTCCGCTATATATCTGCGGCTCAGTGCCAAGCAGTCCTCCTTCCGTCAGTGCGGAACGGAATCCGTCCACTTTTCGGAGTTGCCAAGTGGCAAATCTGTCAGTATCGTTCAGTAAGTCCCTAGGGCTCCAACCCCCCACCTCCGTTTCGAAGATGGTTGGAGTGGGTGCCAGGGGGGTCTAACCACCTCCTTCTGAGGAGATGGTTGGAGCCCTAGGGAGTTAACACATGTTAACACCAGTGGTTGTAGTAGATGGGATTTTGAAGCTGCCAATGAAAGACTGAGAATGAAAGACGTGTGATATTGTCTGAGTCTGAAAGCCTCCTTCTTCAAAGCCAAGTTGCAATGGTCATCACCCAAGCCTCATGAAGGGAGCCAGGCTCAAACATGTCAAGAGGGTAGCCAAACGATATCTGATATCTGACACCTGGTTGTGCGACATGCCACCCACATCCTGAGTGAACATGGTAAGAATGAACGACGTTCTGTGATTTGTACTGTGGACGGCCAATGCGATCATAGCGGATCATAGCCACATGGCCAATCCCCAATTCCAATCAAGATCTATTCATTTGCCTCTTTGCTTCGTGAGGTCCTTGTGGCGTCTGCAGCTAGCTTTCGACCGACCCCCGGTCTCCCGGACCCAGGGGTCCAGGCCAGTCAGGTCGGGTCTACTGGGCCTCAGCCCGAATGAGGCCGAGGATGGGGATCTGGCTGCAGTTACTTTGCTCTGCTTGTGACCGATCTTGAGTGATTAGTGACCTCTGCCAGACACGACCTGTCTAGGACTGGAAAAAGAAACACCGCCCCAGAAAGACACCCCTTCACCACTCGAGCTGATCGGCAAATGTGGCGGTGCCACCGGTCGTGTCTGGGGGAAAGATGCGGCCAAAATTGGGCAGCCAGTCTGAACAGCACTGTTCTTTCCAGGCACCTCTGCCACGCCCAAGAGCACCAGGAGCAGGTCGAACACGAACCATCCTAGGTCGCGCGGACTCAATACCCAAACACTGCATGGGACTGCCATATTGGCCTACATTAGGGTGTCGCGAACAGCAACGAATGGCTTTCTGAAATGTTCCCTTTGCTTTCAGAATGAATGTGCCCATCACCACAAAGTCCTGGCTTTTGCCATGCCCTGGCTGACTTTGAATGACTTTGCTTTCAATTCCCTGGCTTTGTTTCTGCCAAGATCAAGCGTGCTTTCCCATCACCACAAATCACAGTCCAACCTGTTACCCATGATCTTTGAGCAAACTAGGACATACTGACATACCTGACCTCTTGCGAAAATGAACACGGCACGCTCTCATTCTACATGTCGCCTGGACATGATGTCTCCATAACATTTACCGGAGCTTCCACACGTGTTACTCCTAGAAGCTATTTGACCCTTGGTTTTGGAGTACCAACCAGCCCAAATCATGGTCCTTTCGTACCAAAACAGGGGTCACGTCTGGATTCGTTCGGCCTGTTGTTCTTGGATGTACCCTCCCACCTCGTTCGGCCGTCGTATCAACTAGGGGCACCCCGCCGTCGCAGAGTGCTTGGCACTTCTCTCTGAAGGCCTAGGATCTGAAGCTACCAGGGCCTTCAAGGGGTGGTAGACATGGACACCCCTTAATTAAGGCTAAGGGGCTATAAATAGACACCCCGACAGGAGGGTCCTCTTACTAGCTACGTTCACAGTAATGCCCTTGTTACTAGTAGCGATGCACTTGTTACTAGTAGCTTCTAGCTACTACTGGTAATGCCTTTGTTGCCACATCCCGACATAATGCCTTGGATGCCTCGCATTTGATGTAACCGCTTTTTTGACACTTGACGCTTCGAGATACCAGGGCCTGATTCTGGATACCAGCGCGAATCCACGTGGCTTCCCATCGACTTACAATATGAACCCTTCTTCAACTATAGGAACAAACTCTGACTGGTGCGACTCGTAGGGAATAAGGGAAGTTTCGCCCCCAATAGAGATTCTATTGGATCCAGCCACCCTCAGCCACCCTGCTTTCGTCGCACCAGGAACAAACTTGTGCTTACTCCACAGCTCCACCAAACGCGCCACCTCTCCGGCTCCACCGTCGGGACCGTCGAGTTCGGTGGATCCAACGGCCGAAAACGCTAAACGAGGGCGACCCGACGCGACGACTTCTGGGTCTTAGCCACAAAGACATGGCAAACAACACAAAAACAACATGAGGCACACATGGTTTCAGCCCTGCAATGCAAAGGGGTGGGCCACTGAGATGTAAAAACACCAACAAACCATGTGTTCCAACATGTTCCAAAAAAGTATGTTTCTTCATCCGATGGGGCGGATGATGTTGGCACTCCCTCCCTATAAAAACTAGCGCGAAACATCCCAAAGCAACAATCCATGGGACTGGAATCTTGACCTCAAAGTACTACCCAGACGCTCCAAACAGCCCTTGGTCCCTCAAAACCTAGGGATTGGTTCGACCCCAGACCCCTCCAAAGGATTCGGGTCCGACCCCTCCATAGGTTCGGGTCCAGACTTCGCGGTCTGGGTACAAGCCTGAAGACATCTGAAGAAAAAACTCACACAACTCGGACCTACAACTTGAAAACATCTGAAATCCCACCTTCTTTAGCCTTAAGAGTGAGCCATCCTTTGACCTCACTCTTTCGCTCGCCCGGGCTCGGCGAAAAGAAGCTTCGCTTCTCCGAGGCGCAAAGAAGCGGATCGTCAGTTCCTTGGGGATGCCACCGACGGACGAGTCGAGGCTCGGTGAATCCGTGAAAACCGCGATCGGTTTCCGCGTGCTTAGCTTGGCGTGACAGGCATGAGCCATAGTGGACCAGCTCTTGCGATAGGTGTGACTTTTGGCACGGAACAAAAAGCGGTCTTGGACCAAGACACCACCTGTTTCAGGGACGCAGCCTCGATCTGGAGGCTGTGGGTCATGAGGTTGTTTTTGAGGAAGTGCCCCAGAGTTGAAGTACACAACATTGTAACATACATCTGCCACGTTCAAGGTCCCGATAGTAGAAGAAGTGCCTATGGCCTATGGGTCCTGACTACCACCCAATAAATGCAACCCAAAGAGGCTACTGGACCTCCACACAGCCTGACCAAAGTGCAAAACAAACATATAAGTTATAAGTATATAGATGGAGTGTCTGGGATTGACATCTGGTTTCAATACTAAAGGTCCAAAGAAGCTTCCAACAGGAGACCCTGATGAAGGTGTGAAGTTGTGACAAGGATTGAGGTGTCAAGAATGGACCTTCCAACTAGAGGTCTAAATACATCTATAATTCTATAATATATAAAGACCGCATCGCAACCACAAGGTTCGCAAAAAAAAAGGAAACTCTCATCATCTCATCTACAGTCTCCCGCAAGTTGGTGGATTTTTATGTCGGGAACTGGGGCATCATACACTATACTGGATATTGACATGGAAAACGGCACGAACTAAGGAATGTGGTTGTGTACCCAGTGATCAAAGCCAACTGTATGCACTGCTAATATTAATATTTAATGTTGTTGAAGGAATCTGATGAATCTGTGTGAAACACACAATCAATAAAGGTCCGCAAACCACCCAGTCCAATAGTCCAATCCCATCTTCAGCAGTTGAGCGCAGAGAAAACACCCCTAACTAGTGTCATAGGACGTGAGACTGTCATCTGCCAAGCTGCTACCAGAAAATAGGCACAGAACACCTCAACTGTCTGGATGGTTCGTTCTGAAAGCTTGCTGCTGCTGTCTGGATGGTTCTCAGAACCTCTGAAAGTAAGTGGAGGTGATGTTGCGAATTGTTTGATGCTTGAAAGAGACAAGTGCATACTGGGTGTACATGTGGGTATAGCACTGTCAAGACAGCAACACAGGGACCAACAAGATAGCAACTGTGAAGAGATATCTCTTTCCCATGACTTTGGACGTCTGGCGGTTCGTTTGTAGCTGGATTGGCTGGCTATATAGCTTTTATAGGAATTTACTCTCCAACAAACATGGATGGAAGCTTCCAGAAAAAAACAAAGAAAACTAGGAACTTCCATGTTGGGTTGGGATGTGTATTTCTGATTCAGGGAGACACTGTGGCTTCGTTTTCCCTTTCCCGCAGAAATTGCTTAATGGGATCACTGTCTGTGGATCCCCACTTTGGAACTAACATGGAAGTGGAAAGCCATGGCGGCCACCCCCTGTTTGTAGAGGAAGATGATCTTCCTTTCGGAACGCCATCCATGCAACCATCTGAGTTACAGGGAGTGCAACCAGCTGTTTCGGGTTTTAACTTCAAACTCGCTCAAAATCGCTCAAACGCGGCGTTTTAAGCGACACCGAGAAGACACTTGGAGTGACAACTCCACCAAGTGGGAACCGGCACATCGGCGTGACCGAGGGACATGCTCCATCACCTGGAATTGCATCTCCGCTGCCAGCAGGGTTGAGGCTTGATTGGCGTCCTTGGCATCTTGAGGCGATCGTCGGAACAAGACCCCCAAGAATCCTCGGGCATTTCGGGGAGGAACCAGCCACCTCCGGAAGTTCCCGACCTGAACGATCCCAATGTCTGTTCGGATCGAATGTCGCTGACAATCATCCCAGACACTCCATGTATGCCCTTCCCGAGCAAAGACATGATGGGAAGCACTTCTGGTCGGGGTGTCCAGCCATGAAGCAGCTGTAGAGAGGTCAGCTTGATTTCATACCCCCCTTGCAGACGATCCCATGGACCGTGAAAATGGAGTCAGACTAGACTAGTCTGACGTCATCTCATCTACCACCCGGTGGTGAAAACAGGCTTCATGTGGTCCTCTGAAGGAGGGTAGCTTCACTGCAACCCCGTTTGAAACTCCGAAAATTCCATCTTAAACAGGTGTCCCTTCCCGTGGAATTCTTGAGCCACAATGCAAAAGTGTAAAAAAAGACATGGGAAGAAGACGGGAGATATGTAGCTTCGTCGTGCTTCCTGCAACATCGTGTACCCCGCTGACAAAACTAACATGGACCCTGAAAACCACTGGTTTGTAGAGAGGAAAGCGGTCTTTCAGGGTGCCATTCTCAGGGTCCCTGTTAGTTTCGGGGGTGTACCACAAGTCCATATATGATGGGACGACTGGATCAATGGATATCCTTTCCCTCGAACAAAACAGAACCGAGGCATGGATATCAAACATGGGAACTGTGTGGGGGTGTTATGGGAGTGTGCAATAGCGTGTATACTTGGAACTCCTTAGATATGGGAAATTCGACAGAGTAAGGAAATGAAACAACAGTCTCCCAGTCTCCCTACCTCAAACAAATCTACCTACAGTACCCAACTCTGGTCAACACCTTAGTAACATGTCAAGTAAGATTCGCATCAGCGTCAAAATACCAATCCTTGCACATGCCATCTGTGGTCCTCTTGACGTTTGCCGATCTACATGGAAAATGGAACCACAGCCCTCGTTCATCATTTAAGGGCTTAACGACAGCTCCGGGCTTTTCTTCGGAGGGGTGGTTAGCCATTTAGCCATGTTCGGTGAACCAACTTGCGGCACCGAGGTACAGTGTCGTATGACAACCAAAGCGCGTATCCCAGAATCATCGCAAGCGTCGCGTTCCTGGCAAGCATGCGGAACTTGGGGCAGGCTATGCGGCTATGAGGAACTTGGTGTATGCTATGCTGCTATGCAAAACTGGAAGTCAAGGGTGGCCACACATGCTATTGAAGTAATATCCAGCAAATTGTCAGTCAATTGTGACACGCACACTGCTGACTTTGCCTTGGTGATGAGAAACCTCTTCTTTAGACATCTGACCCCCCCCAAAAAGTACATACACCATATACTTACCTTGAACAACAGCTTACAGTCGTGGATGAAACTCAGAAACACCGCCAAAAGTGCTGCCACCTGCAAAGGTTTTAACACAAGTGACACAGATACCCGCAACAGTTATAACGGCTGGCTTTGAGCAAACACACGGATTCATCGATCAACAGATTTTTCATGGGCGGCCCAACGAATGTCTGAGGCGGCCCATGGGCTGTGTGAGTTTGTACAAAGATGTAGACTGTTCGTTAATAACCTCCACACCATATGAAGGTGTTCTCTCTCTCTATGTATATATATATATAATCCCCCTGTGAGTTTGCCAGGTGAGGTTGTGCTAAACATTCTGTAGTTATAAATCAAAAAGTGGTTCCCAGAGGTGTACAGAATCACAAACTCGTAATCCAAAGTAAAAACAGAGTCTCTACAAAATGTCCACGCACAAGGGCATTTTGGGACAGGGTCACTCTCTACAAAATGAGAAGGTTCTGGAAGGGGATAGGTACAGCATAAGAGAAAAAGTTGCTACAAAAATGCAGAAACTGCGCGTGATGCATTCTGTAGAGGGTACCACTTTTGCAAGTCAGGTAGAGTGCAAATTGACAGATAAAAACCTGACAACCCATGTTGTAGAGAGTGTCATTTTGTAGAGACAGCCTTTTTCATCGTCTGTTTGGAGTCAGGTCTGTTTCATCGTCGTCTGTTGTTCTACAAAATGCAAACCGGCGAGTTTAAAACCGCATCAAATGCCAATGACCATGTTTCTCTACACGGGAACCTGCAAATCAACATCTTCCAGAAGCTCCGAAATGTCTCCTCTACAAAATGCCAAACCTGGGAATGTAAGACAAGTTTCTCTATTGAAAAATGCCGTATATCAGTACCCAACCCGTGGCATTCTGTAGAGGATACATGCAAGAGGATAATGTATATGAATACTCAAAACAACAGTATATACAAAAAAAAACATCTGCTCCTTCTACTCCAGGAGCCTGTGAACTCGGAAAGCACCTGGCCAAGAACTCTGGAAAAACTGTTCATAAACCCCTGATTTCATGATCTTTTGCTGAACCAACCCGCATATATTTGAGTTTAGCTTGCTGAAACTAGACGTCGTTGCCCTAAGGAGGTGAGGTTCCTGGTGTTCTTCACGTCCACCCAGGCGACCACCTTGCCGAGTTGACTGAGCAAGCTGCTGAAAGAGACTACTCCGAGCGATCTTCTGCATCACACCAGTTTTCCAGTAGAGGTCCTCCACGTTGTACGCCTTTTTGCCTGGCATTTCGGCAGGCTTCCAAACACCGAGCGGAGGAAACCGCTACGCTGACCGGGTGATCGGAACCCGTGCCGACGTCCATTGGAGTGAACAGGGCCGAGTGACGGAGCTTCGGTGGAACGTGGCACAACTGTGGGGGTGATGGTCCAGGGCGACCCCACAGGTGCCGGCTTCGCTCCGGAATTGGTGCTGATCTCTGAAGGGGCTATGATCTTCGTTGCACCGTTTGAGGGCTGGTTCCATGTTTATTCAACCAAGGCTCCACGTTAAAAACCACAAAAAAAGAAACAACAAAACTCCCACACTTTAAACAAAGTAAATGGATTCCCGCTGTCACTCGTATCTTAGAAATCGATTATGAAGATGAAGGGACATGTGAATCGATTTCTTCCTCTTCATTCTTGGAAATGACGGGTCCAGGACTGAAGTGTTTCATAGTGTTTTCCGTCCCTGACCTAAGCTCCCAGTCCTAGTCCTTCTGGTGTGCGACCCAGCAAAAACGACCGGGGAGTCTACAGTGTTCTTGTATACGGACGGTCATATTGGCCGATCGGGGTGGTTTGGGGGATCAATGGGGTGGCATATATTGTATTGCATGCACGGAGTCTCTGGCATGTATAATATGTAAAACATATATAACATTATATATAAATGATGCCAATATTTTTTAAAAGTATAACATGTATAACATATATATATATATTGTATATGTCTGGCATGATATATATAACAATATATAGCACTGATGCTTCCGGCACGGTGGCAACCACGCCGAAAAAAAATGGATCGCTTGGATGTCTGGCCGAAAAACCCATGAGACACCGTCTTTCCGGGAGACTCCACTGACGTGCCCCATCAACGGGATGCCCCATCTGATCCGATGTCAGAATCTGGAGGGTTTCCAAGCTATCTTTGAATACTAGTACTAGTATCTGCTTTCGGTGTTTCCGCTTCATGTTCAGTCAATTCGCGTCGTACAAAGCAAGGCGGTCTTGAAACCTGGAAATCACGTCCTGTGCAACCACCCATCTGTGTGAGGATTTAATGAATTTCCACGAAAGTTGGTGTGCAATGATAGCAAAGTGAATTACAACCATGATTTCGGCATAAACAACTGTCACAAAAAAAAGACTCTATAGCCAGATTGAACTGAACCTCCTATCCCCTGGCTTATTGCCATTTGGTTTCTTTTCTCCGCAGTTCTTTCCTGCCCATTTCCTTGTGATGTGCCTTTCCTTATTCTGCTATTCCTGTCCTTCTTTCTTTTTTTCTTGCGTTTCAGTTCTGTCGCTTCTTTCAGGTGATTTAAACACACCATGATTTACACACGTTTGCTATATTTTTGTGTCGAGATACTGGATATGAACAACAACTACAGTTTGAGAAGCTCAGAAAGGGTAGTCATTATGCATGCCAACCCCTAATTATATAAACAAAGCCTTCCCTTCCTTCCTTTCTTTTCATTCCGTTCATGCAAATGTCATTGTGCCGAACAAGATCCTTGCATTTATGATATTTTATGATCATCTATTTATGTGTTCAATTAAAGGCAGGCCTCCAAGACCCTTCTGAACCACTATCAATCCGCTTCTGAAATGAAGCCATGTCGTGTGCGCATGCTTGGGGATACACCCTACTCATCCTTTCTTGCAGTGTGCACAAGATGAATACGCAAAAAGGGTGACCTGCAGAGTGTCCACGTACTTCCTGGCTAGGACCTCCACTTGCAGAACAACATAAAACAACTCCAGCCTTCGTTGATGGCTCGATGCAGCTGCTTCCTGGGCGTGAAAGCAGCTGAGCATTGCCAAAGCATGGCGCATCTGGGTGAGTCTATTACTTGCGGCATGGGTCTGCATGCGTCTTACAGGCCACCCCACCCGTCCCTCGAAAAACATTGAGGTCCAAGTGAGCGGTGTGAGTCTATAGATGGAATGGAAGGGACAAGCAACGGAAGATTTAGCATGGTCCTCAACAAGTATGGAAGTTCAAAAGGAACATGTTGATTTTTGGACCATGGATGTTCGTCCACAGCAGTTTCGGATGGATCGCTTCAAGACTCACTGAGATCTTTCGACCAAACACAGCGAAATCTCTCAAAGACTCTTCTATGAACCAACCAGTAGGGAGGATGGAAGTTCTGTCAGTCAAGCGATCTGGCGGTAGTGGTAGCTCGTGTTTGCTGCCATAATCATAAGTATGACATCCTGTCTATGTGTACCTCAGCAAGCTGTAAATGTTTCCGTTTTCAACTCCAAGCGTTATTCTGTCCCTGCTACGCTTAAGTTCAACACCTAGTGAAGCTCATGCTGAACAATGCGGCAACGCATTCTACTCGTGCCTGCTCTAGGCACTGTGGGAAAGCCTGTCAGATGTACCAAAGAAACATCACATCTTTTCCAGGAGTTCAACTTCCACATCTATACTTGCTGGAGGGAAGCCACCAAAACTGTAGCAACATGCTTACTTCTTGTTCAATGTTCAAAGTGAAACATGTTTTGGGACCCTGACAACACTACAGAAGAAAAACACATGGAGAACAGTGAGAACACATGGAGAGTTCGGTCGGAGGCTCGGCAGGACTCGGACCTCCGGACGGAACGGTTATTGTACCCCAAAAAGCCCAAATGCACTTGGCTCCTGGCCTAAGGAGGGTTTCTCTATCTCGACCTTCCTCTTTCATCATTGAACTCAGAGTGTATGTAGTAGCTTCTGGTTACTAGTAGTAATGATTAGTAATGCCAGGAACTACTAGTGGCTTCTTGCTCCGTTCGTAGCGATGCCAGGAGCTACTAGTTAGTAGCGATGCCCTTGTTACTAGAAGAGTGCGTCCTCAATCCTCTCCAATCTTTTCGTACCACAAACGGGGACCATAGCATCTCCACGAGTACCACAGCATCTCCGGAGGGTAAAGAAAAGGAATGAGTTCACTCGAGTACAAACCAAAAAAATGAGGTCATCACTGCCGTCACTTCAATATGAGGTCATCACTCCATAGTGATGTGGATCAAAACGCATCACATCCAATGAGTACCCTCCTTTCCGAACAAATCACATGGAACTGGATGGCGTGCTGTCCACTTCCTTCCAGGCTTGGTGAGTCCGGCTAGGCTAGGCTTGGAAGGCGCTCGTGACTCTCCCGAGTGAACCGACCCACTTCCCGTCGGGACGAAAGAACCAGCTTTCGCGCTCGACATGACGCGAAACGAAGCGCTCCACACAGGCGGCTTAAGATCGAGAAAGAGAAGCCGGTCCAAAACTGTCTTGTCGACAGTCTCCAACGCTCGCTGAAGCGAATGGGGTGAACCTCACTGGAAAACCTCCCCAAACGAAACTCACCGAGTCTGCGATGCTTCACCCTGCTTCTCTCCGTGCCCGACCGTGCGCGCCGTGCCCGGGGCTTTTCCAAACATCGCGCTCTAACCGTTACCCCTTCGCTGTCGCTCAGCGGCTTGAGCTCGTCGGCGTCCTTGATGACCTTCACTCGCGTGGGCCGATTCGTCTTGGACTTCAGCCGATCCACCTGGCTCGCCGAGGCACCGCGGCCGAGGCACCCGCGGGGTCTCCGGCGGATGACACCGCGGGTTCAACGGCGGGACACCGGACGGCGTGCGTTGAAACCGGGTGGACGGTCATGAGGTGAGGGTCTTGGACCGAGAATGTTAGCGTGGAATATATATGTATATACGAGCACCGACGGCCAACAGGTCACCTATTGAAACCTGTTATGGCCTAACAACCCTCCATTTCGAAGACCTGTTGGAAGGTGCTGGTATATGTTTCATGATGTTTAATTTTTACATATATTTGTTCTTTTTTTGAAGCGGGATATGTCATGCTTTTTTCCTGTGGGAATATCCACTCACTGGGCAGGTTCATGAGAAGTTGGTTTTCTGTGTTTCACTGCTGGTCTGGCAGTGAAACCTGAACAATCCTGATCCCCTCGCAGGGAGGAGATAGCAGGGGGGGAACGAATTGAAAGAGGTCTTGCTGTGTATGCAGACTTTTTGCCATTACTTGTGGCTCTGGAACTAAGTCACACTGTTGATTGTCTTCAGAACATCTGGCTTTTGAAGGATTGTCGCGTCACTCGCCTGAGGACCTGTCGGCTGTCGATGTGGGCGTCGTCGCTGTCTGAGACACATTGGGAAACCGCGGAATCTCCTTTTTAGGAGTTGAAGATACTTAAGTACATTCGGGAATTGGCATCATTTCAACATGAGTATTGCTGGAATTCCCAAATTTACAATCTCGGCTTGCAACTCAGAGGATGCGCAGTCAGAATGTAAGCATGTTCACCCAAGTTGGTGAAAGTTTTATCCAAACACGTGCTAACATCTGCGATCTGTGTTTTACTTCAATTCAATAAGAGCTACTCTACAATTCCGGATGGCTATACCGATTCATAAAGTCATATTCCCACCCCCAAGTACATGTAAGGCCTGTCCAGCGTTCCCTCTTCTCGCTGCATGTGAAGAGACGGAGGACAGTTTTGTTTTTCATGACCCATACGTCAGGATGGCGCCCTATTAATGGATCCCTCCAAATTGAAACAGTCCAACAAGTCACCACCTGCAACTTTCAAGTCTGCAAAAGCCACCATTTCGGAGACCTGTTGGGTGGTCCTGGTAAATTAATTTCTGATATTTAATATTATATACTGTATTAATTTATTGCTTCTTTAGTGAAGGAATCTTTGTTTGCTTTTGGTTTTTCCGTCCTCCTCTGACCTCGCCTGAGGACCCGTCGCCAAACGGTCCGAGTGGCGAGATTTCGTGTCGCCGTCGCAGCGCGCGTGGCGAGGAATCGGAAGTTGGAGCTCCTCTCCGGCCTCGACGCTAAACGAAAGCTTTGCAGATCGAAAAAGGATATAGTATAGGTAGTAATGCCCTAGCTACTAGTAACAAGTGCATTATACTACTACTGTAACAAGGGCATTATACTACTACTGTAACAAGAAGCTACTAGCAGCGATGCACTTGCTACTAGTAGCGATGCACTTCTTACTAGGTTTGTTGCAGGATGTTTTTCTAAGCGAGGTTTCTATGCAAGACACGGCCCTCGGTGAGCTACGGAAGGTCTATCTGTCTATCTCGTTTGCACCTGGTAGTCCTTCTCACAGGTTTCTCTGCCCGCCTCTGCCCCCGGAAGTAATAAGGAGGTAAGCTCCTAAGGTAGGATGCAGGAGGCCTAGATTCAAATCCATTTGTGGGTTCATCGCGAAGCCTGCAATATCAATTAGTGGAGCGCGAAGCCTGTCTCACTTTTCACCGATTTGTCGAACCCCAAGTGACTGGATACTTCAGGCTAAGATTTGTACGAAGAGCTTGTCTCACAGTTCTTCAAATGCCCTCCCCGGGATCATCCAGGCTCTATTCTATGGGCTCTTTCATTTAATTCAACGACGTACTAAGCACTTCCAAAATGCTTTCGGTATATCATATCCAATAGATGACCCCTGGGGCCACACTTTGCTCTCATATGCCTTCCTATGCATGAAGAATTTCGATTGAATTGCTTTGAGGCGCAGAATTGAATCCACTTGCGCACAAACAACATCAAACAAAGCTCCTCTACCTTTGAGCCACGTGCATGCTCTCTCATTCTCCCAAAAAGGTTGCATGGCGCGTCACAGCATGCGTCACTTGCGTTACCAGCATCTGACAGTTCCGCTCAATCACGCAACAAATGCATCTTTTATCGCAGTGAACTGTCTGACTCCGTTGTCCGAGGGAAAAACCCGAACGGTCCCACCTCCGGGTCCTTCCGACCGTTCAGAGCCAGAACTGGTCCCCGGGAGTGGATGGAGCTCCAAAGCTCGGTCATTGGTGGAGAAAGGACCCAGAGAGGTTGAACAGCCCTTGGTCGCCTATCTCATATGTACTACAGACCAGGGTCCTAGTTCAGGTCTCTCAACCTCTCTTGGGAGGTTAACCATCCTGGGAAACATCGAGCTGTCACATACCAGTCTCCTCCAGCAGGTCTCCTCTAGAAGGTTGGGCCCTTACAGGTCTCAATTGGTGACCTGTTGGAGGATGCTGGTAGAGGTGTCACCATCAGGCTGTATGTGTGTGTGTGTGTTCTTTCCCGTCGGGGGTTTCCCAATTTGGACCCGTGGATGGCTGGATGGGCTGGACCAGTGGAATCCCACACTGGCGTCACTGATGGTGCCCCATTGGTGGCAGATCAAAAACAAAAAACATATGGCCCATACGGTTGGTATTAATTTGCATAGTTCATTCGAAATCAGGGCCATACCATCCACGTAACCATCGATGATGCCAACACATGTAATATAAGTAAGTCTATCTCAATGTCAATACGTTCTTTGACGAAGCGTCGTTCCCCACCTTCGACGTTCCAAGGCCCGTTTTTTTCAGCGCCCTGCTGTCCAAGTGTCCCATCGCTTGAAGGATTCCTGGTCCGTTGGTCCGACTCTCACGCAGAGAAGAGAGTCCGGTGAACAAATCGAAATACTCCCAGACACTCCATGTATGCTACATGCCATAGGACTGCCGATCAGTTGGGGTGCTGCCAGCGGGGGTCAATGGGGCAGCATATACGTGGAGCTTCGAGACTTTGAAATGCTCCGCTCGGGAGACCGCCACGCCGGCGTGGCGTTCCTCCGCCACGAAGCAACGACGTTTTTCAGCACATACCTGGACATACCCTTAGTCTCACCAAACAGAATGGATACCCCTGATCTGTTCATTGGTTGATGGTCAATACTGCTTCAAACGTATAACATATTATATTTAAATGTGTTTTCCTGACTTGGTGCCAAACAAATGCAACTCGAGTCACTTGCAAACGTGAACAACTTCATCATCATCGCACTTATAGACTTATAGATGGGATTAGATGGGTCATTTTCTTAAACACAAATAAACTGAACACACGGCTTGACAGCCTAGTAAACAGCACCACACGGACAAAAAGGTCCACTGGAACAGTAAAGCCTGTGAACACAGGGTACCATCCAAATCTACGGGTTAAAAAAACACAGTATATTTATGAACAATTGTTTAGCCCGGGGGTACATTTTCTGAACCGCATCCAATATTGTTTGTTGGTGTTGAACTAGAACCTTCAAAAACATGTTTGATTGTTCAAACCTGCAAGTCGCAACAACTTTCAACCTCGTTTGCTCATGTTGAAAGAAGAACGTGTGTGGCTTTTGCTTGACGCCATCAACAAATATTAACTATATGTTGTTTCCTGCTTCTGCACACACCTTATACGCCATGCTTACTTACGCACCGATGAACAAAATCCGTTTACGCCACGCAGCTTCCAAACACGAAAAAACCATAGCGGCAGCTTACGTGCTGCATGGGTTTTTACAAGTATCACAACGTGCAACCATTGCAATCACAATCTAGTATTTTCTGATGCAACACCAACTCTTGAAGATCAGTTCACACAAACCAGAGATTGGTTTAAGTATAGGAAAAACCATCTTAGTAACTACAGAGGCTTTGACCCTTGCTCTCTACCCATCCTCAAACTCTCAACGGGGGAACGGCCAAGCAGCGGAGAAGGAGGGACTTTGGGTTCGGCCCACAAAGGCACTTCAGGCAGTCTCTCTTGATGATGAAGAACGGTGTCTTCGCTGGCACCTCATGGCGTGAGTGACTTCCACACACGTGTGCGAATCTCTCGTTTCTGACGGCCTGACGTGGCTGTCGCACACACTCTGGAACGGTGCAAAGAAAGAACACATTGCAACATGTCTTTTTGGGTGAAGAACAAAGGAAAAACCAGGTCAGAAAGCGTTCTGACCCGCAAAAGGTTGGGAAAATGGAGGGGCGCACCGTTACCCCTCAACGGTTGACCTATCATCCAGAGGGGCGCCCCCCCGGCAACAGATGGATCTGGACGGAAGATCGGCCGAGGCATCGGCGGAGGCGGAGCGACCACAAGGTGAACCATCTGGTCGCTACGACTTAAGGTACTTTGGAATGGCATTAAGTCTGGCATGTGTTATGACAAGACATGACACGTGTTCCTGGTCCTCTGATCCTCACTTGACAGGTGGGGAGCAAAGCTTTTCATCATGTGTGTACTAGTAGCTTCTTGCTGCTAGTAGTAAAGCCACGAGCTACTATAGTAGTTTCTTGCTTCTAGTAGCGATACCCTTTGTTACTAGTAGCTACGGGTGCACAAGCGTTTTGGATATTTGGCAGGGCTTCCGCCCCAATGGGCGAAGCCCCATCACTTCCTTCCTTGCCGCCACGGCTGGCGCTGCCACGCCAGCCCTACTTCGGAAGACTCGTGGCCCTTCAAAATTCCAGACCACTTCTGTCGTACGGCTTAGCTTCATGGATATTCATCTGCCAAAGATTGGGGTCCCTGTCAAAGCTGTCACCCATCCCACATCACATGAACAATCATTCCCAGATGTTTTGTTTCATCAGAGATGCTCTGGAGTCTCATTTGATGTACAAATCTCTGTTTAAGGAAAAACATCCATGGAATCCATGGTAGCACTCGATCGCATCAGCTTTAAGGATTCCACCAGCTTGGATCCCGGGCAAATCTGTAGCCCCAAGAAGAATCTGCCGGAGTCGTTTGGGAGGTTTGGGTGTTCACCTAATTAACTGTCGGTCGTCTATTTGGGGATCACTATATTTAATTCCACCTATCGATCAGCTTCTCTGAACTTTCAGCTTCCCAGCTCCGAGGGGCTCATGGGCCATTGCCACGGTTCTTGGACCGGCAAGACGAGCGCGACGTGAAGTCCAATGATGCGTGGAGTGAGATGTATTGTATAATATATGGAGGAGACCTCAACAAATCCTAAGACATTTGATTTAGGGATAAACATCTGAAGTGAGATCTCAACGTCCAAATGGTTCCATCTGGGCACTCACTGATTCTGAGTGGCTTGAGCTCAAGTTGTATATATATATATTATATATATATCACATTATATCACAGTGTTACCTTTTTAGTTTCCTATATACTATATACCAACCGTTCGGTTGCATCCCACGGTGGTCCGGGTGCGAGGTCACGGAGCCTTCGGGGCTGCTCGTTTAGGAGGTCACAATCTCGTCCCCAGGAGTTACTACTTAGTAAGACCAGGAGCTACGTTCGTAGCGTCCTTGCTCCTAGTAGCAATGCCCTTGTTGTCCATGATACTGCTGATACTGCTGCGGACACACATGAAGCTTCACATAGGCATGGCAAGAACATAGCATCAATGCAACATCACAACCAACCACCCAACATCCTGAAATTTCAGGTGTCACAAATTAATCTCAATACCCACGAGCCATATCAAGCCATCGGAACTCACGACAAAAGTAAAATCTGTTGATGTTGGGGAATGACTAAGACTATGGATACTATGGAAATATATATATATATAATACATACATAGAATTCATGAACTTCCATGAGGGAAGTTCACACACCATCCAACATACCCACTGACTCACCCAGTACTGCAGTACTTATTTGGACCCTGAAAGCCATTTCTTGAGACGTGCACAACGGCTGCACGACAGCTGTGCTGCTGCGCACTATCTCGTGCTGGTCAACATCATCACATCAATCAAAGGACAGAGAGGGACAGCGGTCGAAGGAACAGCGGAAGAGCGGTTGATTCCTTTTGTGGCCACTAACGTCAGCATGTTGCACTGTTAGAAATGAAGAAGCATCTGCATACAAAGCCTAACACACATGTTCTCGGCATCTCTGACAATGCACAAACATTTACTGTACCGTGCAAACCAAAAGAACTACTGTAGCAAAAATCCAGCGGATGTCTATCCTCCAACCCTTTTTTCTGGGTGGGAACTGCATCTGCATGCGAATCGAGCTGATGTTTGTGCATTCTCAGCCCGACTCGAGCCTGTCGAGCCACCATCTTACCAAGAAGCGGAAGCGACTGCCCGACCGATTAAGGACATCTATGAATCTATACTTTTGAGTCTCCAAAGTATCCCATTGTGACAAGCACCAACAAATAGAGACTGGGCTCATGTTCCAAACAATATAACCAGCGGCACCAAGGTCTTCCATTCCACTCACGGAGAAAAAAACGACATAAAACGGACTCATCCGCTCAAGTTGGACCTCCAACATTCCCTGAAGTTCAGAGTTCTCCGACCGTACCGCATTCTAGTTCACTCACTGAACATAACAAAGCATGAACGCTGGTCTGATGCCGATGGCCACTGGTTCATGAAGGCTGACTTCCAGCCGAACCCCTTCCAATCTGCCAAACTCACAGCGAAGCCGAGCTCCCGAACAAAAAAACTCACATCTGAGTAGGCGTTGCTGTCCTGCCGCCGGAAGAACAACGGGTCTCATCTCCACCATGGGGATGTCAGTGGGGATGTAAACGGCGTCAATGAAGTCAGGCGATCTCGAACGAACCATGACGAGATCCGCCAGCGGCCTTCACCCCATCAAGATCCACAATGGATGCATGGTCATTCCATGTCATTCCGACATTCTGTTTGTGCGAATGCGCGTGCGTATGGCATTCTTCTCGCATGCGGAAGAAAACGAAAAACCATTCGTTCGAACCGAATGATGCTCCAACACAGCGCTTCGCAGGCCAAATCCCACGGACATCGGAGGTTCTGACCATGGACTCTCCGAAGACACGGATGGGATTCTCATGCCAAAATCACGTGAGGTGGACCCCGCCGTCCTGTGTTTGTGTGTAACAAGTGTAACAATCAATCGCTAATGCAACATGTTTTCTCTCAATATGAGATTCGGTGGGGATCAATTCACCTTCTTAATGCGCTTTATATAAATTGTCTAATTGATGTTTATTGTCTTGTTGTTCCCTGGGCATCCAAAACCTCTTAGACCCTCTAAACCCACCCCAAACACCTTAGGCGACGTCATTAGTTCACCACAAGCTGTGGACTTGCAACTGCTCCCCACTCCACCGACAAGCGGCTGCATGCGGAAAGTTCGCCACGACCTAGAAGTTGTGCTTCTGTTGGGAGGCAACTGTATCGAGTCACACCAAAGGCGAGGCAGGGAAGCTCTGGTAGATCACTGCCAGGTCATTTTCTCACTGACAATCCCAAACACTCCCATGCATGTGTGGAATATTTACTCTATTTTACCTTGACTCCTTTTCAACCACAATGTAAATATGCCAGTCCCGTGGAGTGTTTCGGACATTTTGGGACTATGACCAACAAGTCGAGAGATGGGAAAACGCGGGGCACGCTTTTGGCACGGTTTACACGCTGCACCTCGGAGGACACGCGAGAGCGGCTGCCATGTGGAGCCTGGCAGGTCGTTGTGTCTTTTCTTACAAATAGGTGTTTAAACAGGCAACTACTTTGACCCAAAAGTAAGTGGTTCATGAACAACCCTTAACATTTAAGCTCCAAGTCACATGATTCAGAGTCATGTTACTTGAAATAAATAATAAATACGCACTCTTTAGACACTCCAGGTCTGCAAGCCTAGCAATGGAACATGACTCAAATTCCAAATGATTCAAGGACACATTGCCAAAGCATTCCACCTGAGACCCTGAAGGTCAAACATATTCAAACATTGTCAGTCCCCGCCATATGTGTTACTCAGTTTTGAAGCATCTGAGTCTGAGCAACTGGTGACCTCTTGCTAGCCGTGGAGATCGCGGTTGACTTGGCCAAGACTGAGATCAGCACCGAAGGATACCGAAGGTCCACTGATCCACTGGATCCGCTGATCGTGCTTCAACTGGATCCATGGCTCCAGCATGATCCTAGAACCCATCCAGCATGATCCTTGACCCTCCAAGCATGCGATATAAGCATGCGATATACATGCCTTCAACAGACACCCTCCCTCACACCCTTCGAACAAAAACACGACCATATGCGCCAGGTGTTAGTTCAAAGTGGTCACTCATGAACGAACTGAGGCCGGCAGCCCAGCCTTCTGCTGATCATGAGGCCTGGTACGGTAGGTAAAGAAGGATGCAGCAGTTGGATGTGGGGTGCCCGCCACCCCAAACGCTTGTGAAACGAACGAACTCTGGGGCAATACATGTTCTTTTTCAATTTCCATTGTCCCGGTGTTGGGTACGGTAGGATGGCATAGGGCATTGGTATCAAAAAAGGTTCAAGTACTCTGCTATTCAGTTCCATACGAACCAAATCACAGAATCTGAGACTCCAAGACCCACCATCGTGTGAAGGATCCCAAAGCCATCAGCTTTCATACCCTACCAGGCGACATGGGGCAACGCTGGGGCAACGCTCCTTGGATGTTGGATGGTTTTGGTCGGAGATGTTGTAACCCTACTGAGGTGACATTTGGTGATCTGGTGACTGGATCGGGCCCCAACAAAGCTTCTTTTAAATCACAAAAACCAAAGCTTTGGACTGGGTGGCTGGTTCCAAAGGGCTGTCACTCCAAAGGGTAGGCCCATCGAGGTAGGCTGGAGTGACACAGTTTCGGTATGAGGAAGCCTTCCTTGATCGACTGGACCTCAAACACCTCATTCCCACGCGTTTTCACCTCATCATGTGAGGCTTGTGGGTCCTAAAACCTCGGCCGTCCAGAGAGTTCCTGATTCCAGCGAACTCGCGGATGGACATTGCCACGGATGGACGCTATGCGACCGCGCAGGCCGCGCAGGCCGCGCAGGCCGCGCAGGCGAACGCCTCGGAGTTCCTCTGGTACTGGGCGCAGGCGAACGCCTCGGAAGAAGTGATTAGACATGGCAACGGCTGTGTCCGAAGGTTTGGACATGGGTGGACGAAGCCCTGAGGTGGATCCCACCGTCCCCCAAAGTTACACCTTTGGGCACTCAGGACATCATTGAAACACCTCAAAAGCGCTCTCAAAAGCCTGCTCACGGTGCCTACATAGTGTACCTCAGGGCCTCCAGGCACACAGCCAACATGTTTCACGTCCTTCCCAGGATCGCTCTCCGCCGAATGCCAAACATCTCTCTAGAGCCAATGGCTTGGAAACCGACCCAATCGAATGGTTCTGCTATACAGCACCACGTTTCCATATCAAAGCTAGAGGGTCAATATTTACGCCCAACTACGTCAGCCTCTTACTCAGCGCGCGAAAGGAGGTCGGCCTGGCCGATTCTCGTACGACATGCCCCGTGGTTTCTGCAGATTGGAAAGAAAAAAATATTCGATATGGACCCCCCCCCAGCAATAATATAGGACTAGAGTGCGAAGGCACATGGCAAAGGTCAAGGCCGCGCGCATCATGTTTGCACTGATCTTGCAAAAGCAGCCACCTCAGGATGCCGCACGGCATCGTTGTCAATGCAGTACCAGTACCGGGGAGCCTCCAAGCAAGTCAGCCTAGCAACGCAGTGCACAAACATATGGCATCACTTCACCTTCGAAGATCCGCGGCTTGGCTCATTTCACACACTCCAAGCTGCCATCGCTTCCTCAAATGCTCCCCCAAAACATTCTCTTGGGCCAGAACGTTGATCGAGCCCAGAGCTGCCATCGCTTCGAGCACTGCAGCCCACCATCGATTCTTCTCACATTGCTCCATCCAAGGCCCAAGGCCTGATGTCATCGCTTCCCCTGGCTCAGCCGTAAAAGAGCGACTCTGTTTGGCTCGTGAAGCAGTGCTGTCGTCAACAAGGCTGTCGTCAACAAGGCTGTCGTCAAGTCCCCTAGATGCATCCAGCGCTTCCTTGGGTAGTTCTGCGTATGGCCCTTTCTGCCGTCGCGTGTCACCTTCTGAACATGCCGTCGTTCTGCACGCGGTCGAGCACATGAAAGAGCATGCCGTCTTCCCAG